GACTTGATGCAAAGAACTGAGAAAATATAAATAGGACAAACAACAACTTTCATGTTGAGTGTGAGCTTTTCTACTAATTTTAGGGCTTTGGGGGAAGGTTAGTTTTCTCAAGCTCTAAAATGTTTATAGCTGAGACTACTTGCACCCAGTGAGAGCTGACCTAGAAACTAGCATCAAATATTCTGTAGCCACGAAGATGAACACGAGTTCCCGGCCCTGAAATGGTGCAGTTATTGGAAGACTCCACTCATAATCCCACAGCCTCGGTGTCATGTGCATAATAGTCCTTGAAGAAGGACATTAGCCAGCTCTACTGTGGCTGTGAAATTAATTAACTGATTTACAAGACCCATCTTCCAGAAGAGCCATAAAAGTTTATTGTGAATTGAGCGACTAGAAGATGATAAAGACAACTGGATAAAGCAAACACACCTTAAAATCATTGATTAGATTAATATCCACTCGATATATTGTGTATCCTAATGGAAATTCTATGTCAGAATACAGTTAGTATTTCTTATTATGTAATGTGAATTCCAACAGTTGGAGCAGAATTATCCACATTTGTCATTTTTTCTAGGTTTCTCTAAACTTTTTTTTTTTTTTAAAGATTTTTATTTATTTATTTGACAGAGATCACAAGTAGGCAGAGAGGCAGGCAGAGAGAGAGGAAGGGAAGCAGGCTTCCCGCTGAGAAGAGAGCCCGATTCGGGGTTCAATCCTAGGACTCTGGGATCATGACCTGAGCTGAAGGCAGAAGCTTTAACCCACTGAGCCACCCAGGTGCCCCCTCTAAACTTTTTTAAAGGGGAGAATCAAGGGATAAGTTTTACTTATGAGTCAACTGGTTGACTCAGTTAATTTTGCTGGTGCTTTTTAGTCTTTTAATGGAATTTGGAGTTGAGGCACTAGATTTTAAAGTCTTTTTCTTTTACATATGGCATAGAAAAAATATTACCTTGAAAATATAATTTGATGACTTTTAGTGGGCTTACTCTAGGGTTATAGGTGCACAGAAACCTTGAGATTAGTTTTTGTTCATCTTGTTCTCTTAAGGGTTAAAAGAACAGATGCTGATTCGGGGTAAGTTAATCACTTGGTCTAAGTCACACCCTTACAGGTGGAGCCACACATGTAACTTGGATCTCACATTTCCCAATTTGTTCTTCTGTGTCTTTCTCTTCTTCTCCCCTTTTCTCATTCATATATTTTTTTTTCAGTAAATATTTGTTGAACTCTTAAGATTTTTTATTTATTTTAGAGAGTGAGAGAGAGTACACAATGGGTAGGGGCAAAGGGAGGGGGGAGAGGGGATCACAAGCAGAAGCCCCATGGAGCATGGGGGCCATCGAGGAGGCTCAATCTCATGACCCTGAGATCACAACCTGAGCCAAAACCAGAAATAGGATGCTTAATTGACTACACCACCCAGGTGCCCCATGAGCTCTTGAACTATTCTCAGCATTGGATGTTGACATGAATGGATGAACCAGAGAAAATTCTCTGCCCTCATGAGTTTATATTCTAGCTTAATGCTATTCTTGTCACATCACAGGCTTTTTATTTACGCATGATACTAAAAAGATAAGTAATTTAAGTTTTTGGAGAGAAGTATGGTTAGAATTTTAATTTCAGCATATTTTAAAGTGGTCTATATTGGCAAGGGGAAACTGATTTATATGTGAGTATTTTTATCTATCGATGATGCATTCATCAGTCAATGAATATTTATCCATTATTCTGTAGATCTATATACACATTTTTATAATGTAATATATTTTTTATAGATTTTTATTTATTTTATAGACAGAGATCACAAGTAGGCAGAGAGGCAGGCAGAGAGAGAGGAGGAGGCAGGCTCCCCGCTGAATGGAGAGCCCAATACGGGGCTCGATCCCAGGACCCTGGGACCATGACCCAAGCCGAAGGCAGAGGCTTTAACCCACTGAGCCACCCAGGCGCCCCAGTATAATATAATAATTTTTATAAGTATTTCTCAGTTTCTTTATTTTTAATTGAAATATAATTAACATGTAGTGTAATATTAGTTTCAAATATCCAATACAATGAGTCCATATTTCTATACATTACTCAGTGCTCATTCAATGAATATGCGTATCATTAAATTTGGTACTTCTTATAATGCAGTTAGAATAAATACTTACAATTAGAATTACTTTTCTTTTTTTTAACCCACAGCCTTTTTTTTTTTTAATTTTATTTTTTCAGTATTCCAAGATTCATTGTTTATGTCCCACACCCAGTGCTCCATGCAATACATGACCTCCTCAATACCTACCACCAGGCTCACCCAACTTCCCACCCTCCTCCCCACCGAAACCCTGTTTGTTTCTGAGTCCACAGTCTCTCATGCTTTGTCTGCCCCTCCAATTATCCCCCAATTCACTTTTCCTTTCCTTCTCTTAGGGTCCTCCATATTATTCCTTATGCTCCACAAGTAAGTGAAACCATATGATAATTGACTCTCTCTGCTTCACTTATTTTACTCAGCATAATCTCCTCCAGTCCCATCCATGTTGATACAAAAGTTGGGTATTCATCCTTTCTGATGGAGGCAATATACTCCATTGTATATATGGACCATATCTTCTTTATCCATTCATCTGTTGAAGGGCATCTTGGCTCTTTCCACAGTTTGGCGATTGTGGCCATTGCTGCTATGAACTTTGAGGTACAGATGGCCCTTCTTTTCACTACATCTGTATCCTTGGAGTAAATACTCAGTAGTGCAATGCGGTATCATAGGGAAGCTCTATTTTTAATTTTTGTGGAATCTTTGCACTGTTTTCCAAAGTGGCTGCACCAACTTGCATTCCCACCAATAGTGTAAGAAGGTTCCCCTTTCTCCACATTCTTTCCAACACTTGTTGGAAAGTGTTGTTACTGTCTTGTTAATTTTGGCCATTCTAACTGGTGAAAGGTGGTATCTCAATGTAGTTTTGATTTGAATCTCCCTGATGGCTAATGATGAACATTTTTTCATGTGTCTGTTAGCCATTTGTATGTCTTCTTTGGAGAAGTGTCTTTCATGTCTTCTGCCCATTTTTTGATGTGATTATCTGTTTTTTGAGTGTTGAGTTTGAGAGGTTCTTTATAGATCTTGGATATCAGCCTTTTGTCTGTAGTGTCATTTGAGAATATCTTCTGCCATTCTGTGGGTTGCCTTTTGTTTTATTGACTGTTTCCTTTGCTGTGCGGAAGCTTTTTATCTTGATGAAATCCCAAAAGTTCATTTGCACTTTTGTTTCCTTTGCCTTTGGAGACATGTCTTGAAAGAAGTTTCTGTGGCCGATTTTGAAGAGGTTACTGCCTATGTTCTCCTCTAGGATTTTGATAGATTCCTGCCTCAAATTGAGGTCTTTCAGCTATGTATAGAAGAATGAAACTTGACCATTCTCATACACAAAGATAAACTTGAAATGGAATTACTTATTTAAAATTTAGAGAATGTCACTTACAGATTTCTGAAGTCGATGAATGCCAGTGGAGGTCTCTAATCTTCCTAGGATGAATGCCTGGCTATCAGACAGTTGAGTTGTTGAACAGTGTCACTAACTAGAAGAAAATTCTGAAGTGTCCAGAAACAAATAAGATTGCTCAAGATGAATTATATATCCATTATGGTTATTTTATGCTGAGCATATGATTACATGATAGTTTTAACCACTTTCTCAATAATAGGCATGTTTTCTGTTTCCATCCCAGAGTGATTCATGGTTCTCTAAGGATTTCCAAACTGCCTGTGTGGACAAGAGCCTGTGCCTCAACCTCAACCTCAATCTCTGTGCCTCTCTCTTTCTCTCATTTCTCTGGTTACTGTTATCTTTTTTCTCTGCTTGTCTAGCTGGCCTGAAGTGTTATAAGATGCCTTTCTTCTTCCTGTTTTCTTGTTAGTTCTGGCTTCAGTCTCCATGATGAGAGCAGATACTTCTTCACCTCTGTGGTTAGAGTATCAAAAGCATAAGTCTTTGGCACAGTGCCTTCCAGAAGATCTTTCCTGCCTGGGTAGACTCCTTGTTTGTTCCACTCCCAAACTTTCCCTTTCCTGCAGGGGAACAGAGAATGCAGTTGAGGAGACTTCAGAAGCCAGGGGCTTTCATGCAACTGCCTCCACAGAAAGTCCTTTTGGCACTTCATCTCTGAGTGTTTCTTATCCCCACCTTGTCTGGGCAGCTAAGTACTCTGGATTTGGGGTGGTGAACTGTGGAGTTCAGGTCACCAGTGGCTGGTGCTCCAAAGTGAAGAGATGATTTCTGGGTAATTTGCAGAATTAAAAAAAAATCATCTTACTACAATAGAGCACTCTTCATGGAACTGTTGATAGCATAACAAACCTGAGTCTCCATGTGTTCCCCTGCTCAGCAACTTAAGCTTTATAGTTTTGATGGGGAACACACCCCCCCACCCCTCTGGGCTGGGCCCTGAGGCCCTGCATAAGTTTGGCTCAGGAGAGAGGGGAAGACATCCTCAGGTAATAAGTCATGGCGAGTATTCGTTTGCCTGGAGCACAAGACTTAGTTGCTGAATAATGTATGTTTAATATATGTCAAATCAGTTCCAGATTTATAAAGGCTGGAATAGTAGATCCTTATATAGTGCAATCTATTGTCATCTCTACAGAAGGAGCAGAAGAAAGAATGAAACTAAAAAGTCACCTTTGCTCCTTCTAGTCAGAATGGGAAAAGTTATGATGGCAGAAGATAATGAAACTATTTGTTAAAATGAGATTTTTGGCTTCTCTGTTGGATTTTATTTATTCATACCACTTGGGATTTCCATCAAGAACTGAATTCAGGGTGATGTTACTTTACATATTATATGAAAGTGTTATGCATTGTTACACATATTTGAATGGGGTTGTCCACTCAGGTTCTAAATTATGCGAGTTGATCAATACCATATATGAAACTGCGTAAAAATAGTGATTAGGATAAGAACTAGCGTAGATAGTTGAATCCATATCTTATACTATTTTCCAGGGAAAGGTGATGTATTTGGAGACATCTTCTGGAAGGAAACCACCCTTGCTCACGCATGTGCCAATGTCCGAGCACTGACATACTGTGATCTCCACATCATCAAGCGAGAAGCCTTGCTCAAAGTCCTGGACTTCTATACAGCTTTTGCAAACTCCTTCTCAAGGAATCTCACTCTTACTTGCAATCTGAGGAAACGGGTATGTTGTATGAATCTTCTTGCCCTTATTAGTATATATAGGGTTAATATGTCATGCTCTATTAGCTGAGAAGTGCAAGACATGTTTCATTTTGCACTCGTAAGTTCTCATTCAAGTAAAGTGACATAATTTTCTCTCCCTTTCTTTATATTTTGTTTACTTTTTAAGGAGGGGATTCCAGAGTAGGTGGTTCAAGACTTGGATCTTTATAATTTAAGTGTAAAACGAAAAACAGGGTCGAAGAGAAACAAACTGTGCTCTAACGTAATTAGTTCTTGGGGTTTATAATAACTGCCATAAAAATAACATGAGTGTCTCTTACTTTATTATGTGGATTTTTTTTTTTTTTAGGTTGGTAAGGTTAATCCAGCTGGTTGCTTATTTTATATTCCTGACTATTTAAAAACCCTTTCTCATTTAATGATCAGTTCATAAGGCTTATGAACTTATCCCTGTGAATTCTTTCCAAGCACACTATCTTAAAAAAAATAATTAGCCACACTGACATATCCTACAAATAGGTATAGCAACTCCGAACTTTGCACTCCTACAGCAACTATAATATTCATGGCCATTTTCTTTTTTATTGATGAGTGTGACACAAATTTAATTTGCATAAAGAAATCTCCTAGCTATGATTTATAGGTCATTGGATATAGGCTAGGACTCTTTTATTGCCAAGAATGAAATACACATTTGGACAACTGCACTTAAGGAATTTCATCAAAGATGATTGCCTGTCTATGGTGAAGTATTTTGAAATAACAAGCTTTCCCTCCCACTGGCCCCCTAAATAGAACCTTCCCTTTGTTAACACAGAGGAGAAAAATCAAGCCAAGGTACAGATCAGCATCTCTACTATAGATACGAACAGTATCTACAGTATCTATTATACAAATCATTGTAATTCCCTACTGGCTGGCGGCGGGGTGGTCTAGGAGAGGATAGGACTGCTGGAGGCATGCTCATACTAGCTGTGTTGTGACATGGGATCTATATTAGAATAGCATTTTCATTTTCTGTTTTTGTTCTAGTAAATGGGTATTGAGCATCCACAACCTGCTAGACGATGTGTAAAGAGTTTTCGCAAGCACAAAGACTAACTCGAGTCCCTATGCTGAAGATGTGAGTCCCTTTGCTTAAGCCAGGTGTGAACATTCTATTTTACACAATAAGTGAAACATATACTTGTACAAGTAACTGAAAGTTGAGGTTAGTGATGGATGTGGAAGAGGGCTGCTGATAGGAACTGACTGTGGAACTTTCTTGCTTATTCGTTAGGGAGCGTGGAGTCTCATCTAATTAGAAATATGTCTCCTTTGCTCTGTACTCTACCTTCCCCAATGACAAATTCCTCTTCTACAAGGCAGCCCGTTAGATACTTGAAACTCTTATATCTTGTTAAGTCTTCTCCAATATAAATTTTTCCAGCTCTGGAGTCTTCCCACATACCACAAGATTATCGAAACCCCTATCCATCATCATTATGGTCCTCAGGACAGATCTTATTTGTCACTGTCCTCCTCGAAGCATGTTGTTTACACAGTATCTCATCTGATGTTTATAATATTCCTGTGGAATAAAGGACAGTTATTTTCCCTTCAAAACACATGAGGAAACTCAGGGTCAGAGGGCTTAATTTCAAATCACAACTGATATATTCTCAGTGCAAGGTCTCTAGGAGGGATAATTAAGATAACTCACCAGCAGAAAATAAACTTTGGTTCTTCAGAATGAGTTTATCACAAAGCTCTCTCGCCTCTTTTTATGTTCTCTTTTGCACATCTGAGCATGTGCACACCACACACACACACACACACACACACACACACACACACACACAGAGTTATGAAGGCAGAGTGCACATATTTCTGATAAGAGAAGCTAGAGACAGAAAACTCTGTGTGTATGTTTTAAAGATTTTATTTATTTGTTTAGAGAGAGAAAGAGAGTAGGTGGGGAAGGGAAAGGGAGAGACAATCTCCAACAAACTCTCTGTTGACCACAGAGCCTTATATGGGGCTTGATCCTACAACCCTGAGATAATGACCTGAGCCGAAACCCAGAGTTGGACGTTCAACCGACTGTGCCTGCCCAGTGCCCCTGTGTGTGTGCTTTTTTTTAACAGGACCCAGGGATGGGGCCCCTCCCTCTGCAGGGGCTGGTGCACAAGTGACATCAAATGGTTGCTTCCCTTTGTAACCTATTCCCTGTTACAACCTGTGTCACGTTTTTATTTTTTAATAATTCACCCATCCTCAAATGATGGATGGTCTCAATAACTTGGCAAAATGTGGGGATAGCTGTATTGTCAGTCAGTGTCACTTCATTCTCAGGAAAAGAAGAAGTATTCTCATAAAAAAAAAAAAATACCCACTGAGAAGATATCCTCCAATGATTCGTGAGAATAACTACCCTTTTGAGAGCCTCTTTTATACCCATGCACTTGAACACATTTTCTATATAATAACTGACCTTATGAAATTTCAGTCACCCACAGATGAAGCACCTCATTCCCATTCCATTGACGAAGAGGCTGACGTTGTGAGAATGGGAGAGCCAGGTGCCAAAGAAAGTATGCCTCAGGGTCTGGATTTGAATCCATCTCTCTCTGATTCTAAAATGCAGATCTTAGATGCTACCATGTTGCTTTAGCTTGCCAAAGTACTTGATTTTTTTTTCCCACAACAATATTCCACAGACACACTCTCAACAATTTATAGTTTCTCATGCACACAGTTGCTTTCGCTTCGTTCCCCGTGCAGCTGTTAATAAAAGGGTATTTTGTTCTTATGGCTGTTACAGCAAGCATTCTTGCATTGAGTCTGTTTTGGGAATTGGATATTTGTTGTGAGTTCTATGATCAAGACTGTGTCCTTAGTATGCTCTTGATACCTCATAGCTATCAGAACCTCTAATTAAGGGTGTGTTTCTAGTAAGCCAGGGGAGGGGGTTTGGAACCCAGATGCTCAGCCATCACAGATTACAGCTCTGTCCACATGAGCACGTGCAGTGTGGCTGGGTGGAGGGCTTAGCACAGTGCGGGATTCTTGGTGGTCGCCATTGTGGGAGATGTGGCAACACTTTAGCTGCCTGCCCTCCCGTCTCCATTACCGAAGAGTAAGAGATTTGTTATGCCAGCATAGTTCCCACTAACCATCCTTAAATTCCTCTCTATAAAAATTCTAGAACTAGAACTATAATTTCATGCAGTAACTACAGCAGGGGTTGGCAAACTTTCTGTGTCAAGGACCGTTCAGTAGATATTTTAGGATTTGGGGGCCACAGAACCTCTGTCTCAACTACTTAAGCTTGCCATTGTGTGAAAGCAGCTGTCTTAGCTCAGGGTACCCTCACAAAATACTGTAGGCTTAAACAACAGGAATTTATTCCCCACAGTTCTGGAGGCTGAGAAGTCCAAGATCAAGGTGCTGGACCCAATTGGGTACCCCAGGGAGGACTCTTTTCTTCCTGGCTTGCAGACCTTTGCCTTCTCCCTGTGGCCTCACATGGGCTGTGTGTGAGGGAGAGAGAAAGGGAAGGAGAGAGGCAGGGAGGTAGTGAGAGAGAGAGAGAGAGGTGGGGGGAAGAGACAGAGAAGGAAAGCTATTTCTCTAGTACCGCTTCTGATTAGGGCAGTAATCTCATCATGAGGACTCTACCCTCAGGGCCTCATCAAAACCTAATTAACTCCCAGAACCTTTTCTTCAGATATCATCACAGTGGGAGATTAGGGCTTTAAGATATGAATCTGGGGGGAATACAATTCAGTTCAGGGCAGCAGCCAAAAAGAGTATGTAAGCAACTGAGCAGAACTGTGCTTTAGTAAAACTTTACATAAACAAGTGGCTCGCACAGGCCATGTGTCCATGGCTGAAAGGAGAAGACGGGAAGTTAGCTAGGGAGCCCACGAGTCTGCACACAGAGTTCTAGTACGCTTGTATTAGAAAGCAGATCTACCACTTGTCACTCAGAGGTGATCATGAAGTGGAAAAGGCCATCCAGCAGAGGCGGCTGCAGGAGCCAGGTCAGTAACAGCCACGAGGTGGGCCAGGTGCACGTGGCCGTGGAAGACTGGAGTTCGCACCACCTGTAAGGGGACGGCTGCCGCTCAGTCCGCTTGCACGCTGCCTTGGTGGAATGCCAGCCCAGTGTGGCTTGGTCTGCGTATTTTTTTTAACCCGGAGAAGCAAGAAGTACACATTTTTAGGCATAAATCACATTAGTTTGGTAACTAATTTGCTTTATTTATTTATTTATTTAAAGAATATGGTCAAATAGGGGCGCCTGGGTGGCTCAGTTGGTTACGTGGCTGTCTTTCGGTTCAGGTCATGATTCCAGGGTCCTGGGACTGGGCCCCACATCAGGCTCCCTGCTCAGCAGAGAGCCTGCGTCTTTCTCTCCCTCTGCCTGCCTGTGAATTTGCATAAGAAAAATTACTACATCTATTACATCTTTATTTTCTTTAATTTCTAAGTGAAATGTAGCTTTTCCTTCCATTATGAAGGTTGGGACCAAACTACAGTATTAGTAGAAGTACCAAAAGAAATCATAGATATTTTCATATTATATTGTGTTTGTTGAAGTATTTAGGCTCAATAATTATTGTAGTTATTATAGACGTGCTCCTAAGATGACATTATTTATTGTGTTAATGAAAAAAAAGTACATAGATTACTATTTTGTGAATTATTTTTTTGAACAAATTTTAAAAACTTATTTGAGAGAGAGCATGTGAGAGCATGAGTGCAGGGAGAGGCAGAGGGGGAGGGAGAAGCAGACTCCCCCCGCTGAGCAGGAAGCCTGATTCAGGGCTCGATTCCAGGACCCTGGGCCTGAGCTGAAGGCAGACGCTTAATCAACTCAGCCACCCAGGCACCCTACTATTTCATGAATTATTTTTTAATATTTTGGTAACTGGATTTCATTATAATGTTTTTCATTTGCAGTACTATGTATTCTATTTTGTGCATTTAAAGCAACTTTTCTGAATTGAGGGC